TTGGGGGTCCTTATAGTAAGGATCATACTATGTAGGGTACTACGTTAGGGTCCCCAAGTCTCGGAAATCCCTATTTGGGTTTAGGGTTTAGGCTTTTTGGTTTAGGGATGTGGCTTGCGGGCTTCTGGCATTGGGGCTTAGGCTTAAGCGTTACTTGGTTTGGGGCTAAGGGGTTTGAGGTATACAAGTGCATTGGCTTGGGGCGCGCGGTTTGCGTCTAGGAGCATGCTGCGGCTGCTGTTTCGAGTGGTCAATATTGCCTTCCCTTCCCAGCTGCGCAGTACTCCATACACTATATGAGTGTGGCATTGGCAGTATATCTGAAGCCGCGGACAGATTTTTGAGGCTTGACTACTCGTTCAAAAGAAAACCTAAACCCAGATTCCTCAACCATACCCTGAGCCGAAAACCCTTCCAAGCTATGAAAGCGTTGGCAGTTTGAATAGCTTCTGGTTCAGCAGGGTTCCATGGCGTTCGAAGATCGAGGGACTCATCAAACGATAAGTGCAAAGGTGGGGTGTTCTCTTGCTTTCGTCAACATCATCAACCTCAAGTATTATTAAGACAATCATTCAATCTATCATCATTAGTTGTCATCGGCTTTGAGCCGGATGGTGCAGGCGCCGCACTCATTACTTGAGTTACCACACTATCGAGAAAACATTTGAGTAAACCCTAGCCCTAAACCACAGTCCTTGTTCTGCTTCAAGATCGAGGCGAAGCGTTCCTGTCGTTTCGACGTCTCTGCATATATCATGTAGACATCCTGATAAATAACACCCGTAGATTAAGCGGGATGATAATACGGTTGATGATCGAAATCCTGCATTACCTTAAGGACCCTAAACCATGGGAAACTATGGTATATTCCTTAGTATGGGTAATGCAGGATTTCTATCATCAACCGTAACACCCGCAGATTAAGCGGTATGATAATAGGGATCCGGCTCCCGAAGGAAAGAGAGCTATTCATCAAGGATCTCTATGGACCCTTAAACGCAGTCATCTCCCATTCATAACACTTGAAGCTGCAGCTGCCCAGAAACAGGCAAAGATTGCCAGTACCGGGGTTTGACATGTTTTGTCGCTTTCAAGCTCCACATGCCTTCGGTGAACGCCTTTGCTTCAGGAGCAGACCTTTGGCCGTTGACCATATCACGCTACTATACTGTACCCGAAACCCTAAACTTTCTAAACCCTAAACCCTAAACTTTCTAAACCCTAAGCCCTAAACTTTCTAAACCCTAAACCCTAAACTTTCTAAACCCTAAGCCCTAAACTTTCAAAACCCTAAACCCTAAACCCTAAACTTTCAAAACCCTAAACCCTAAGCCCTAAACTTTCTAAACCCTAAGCCCTAAACTTTCTAAACCCTAAACCCTAAACTATCTAAACCCCAAACCCTAAACTTTCTAAACCCTAAACTTTCTAAACCCCTAAACTTTCTAAACCCTAAGCCCTAAACTTTCTAAACCCTAAACCCTAAGCCCTAAACTTTCTAAACCCTAAAGTTTCTAAACGCTAAGCCCTAAACTTTCTAAACCCTAAACTGTAGGTCAAGCGACATTGCCTACCCAAGCGGCTGGAGCCCCCCGCAGTGAAATGCTGTTTCGAGCTTCGGGCTTCTTGGCGCTTCCTTTTTTGGGGGTTTAAGGGGGGTTTAAGGGGGTTTAGGGTTTTGGGTTTGGGGTTTAGGGGGTTTAAGGGGGTTTTTAGGAGGGAGGCTTAGGGGGGTTGAGGGGGTGTTTAGGGTTTAGGGGGTTTAAGGGGGTTTAGGGGGTTTTTAGGAGGGGGGCTTAGGGGGGTTGAGGGGGTGTTTACGGGGTTTGAAGGGGGGTTTAGGGGGGTTTAGGGGGTCTAGGGGTGTAGGGTCTAGAAGAAGTATCACAGAGTGGGGTGTTGGGTGAAAGCTTGAGCTAAAGAGGTTCGCGAAATCCCCTACACCCCAGACCCCACCTGGACCCCAAATAACCCACCTTTTTAGGGTTCCTTAATATATTTTTTTTATACAAGTCCTTAACAAGGTAGGTTCTTTGGGGTTAAGGTAGACCCTACATCCTAGCCGAGTTGCAGCGCGAACGACGAGCTCATCGAGCTTCTTCTGGCCCAAAGAAAGGTCAGAGACGCTGTTTCTCTGGCAGCTGTTCTGGTCCATGTTCTCCTCGGACATCAGGTTTCAGGGATTCGGGGTTGAGGCTTGATGAGGGTGTTGTACCCAAAGTGTCCATGTACCAAAAAGGTATATACTTTTGGACCTAACCCTAAACCCTACAATGACATGAACTTCCAAAAACGCTAAACCCTAAAAACTAAAATGGCATGAACTTCTAAAACCCTAAACCCTAAACTCTAAAAACTAAACTGACATGAACTTCTAAACCCTAAACCCTAAAACGCCATGAACTTCTAAACCCTAAACCCTAAAACGCCATGAACTTCTAAAACCCCTACACCCTAAACCCTAAAACGCCATGAACTTCAACTCAAGTTGCGCTCGTCGAGTTTCATCCTCACCCCCTGGGCCCTGGTCACTAAGCCTCTCTCTTCGCAGTCTTGGGCTTAGGGCTTAGGGTTTAGGGTTTAGGGTACCACTATGATTTTGATGAGGGTTATGATGACTGATAGCAAGAATACCGATCATAGCAAAGTTCAAACCATCATAATGATGATAGTAAGAAGAGAACAAAACAAGACTAACAGTCGTACTTGTTGACGATACTATTATCACGATGTATTGTGAAACCCCGGTGCTCTAAACCCCTAAACCCCTACACCCTAAACCCCTAAAGCCCTAAATCCCTAAACCCCTAAGCCCCTAAACCCCGGTGCCGCAGAGCCGCAATCTCGGAGACAAGAAGAATCCCGAAGATCCTCGGCAGGAAACGATGCTGCAAAAGCAGCGCGGGCTGTAAAGAGTATCTATTAAAGGAAACCACAGCTGGGGAGTTTAGGGTTTAAGGGTTCTAGGGTTTAGGCCGGTTTAGGGTTTAAGGGTTTAGGGTTTAGGGTTTACGGGTTTAAGGACTACAGGTGGGGAGTTTAGGGTATAGGGCTTCTCTATGGCTTCTGCAAGGTATATAGACCTTCCATAAGGCTCCTAGAACGGTAACTACCCACCTCCATGACCTCTATGGGTTCCTTTATATGATTTAGGGCTTACGGTTGTAGTTATAGCTCCCTTTATATGGATTAGGGTTTAGAAAATGTAGGTTTATAGTACATTTGGAGGGTCGGGGGACTTGGTAAGTAGGTGGTGAGTAGAGTTATAAGTATGATGAGTAGAGGTATAAGTACCCTAAAGGGGATTCTATTCGGGTTATGAGTTATGACACTTACATCTCTATAGAATAACTACTTACTACGTCCCCCCACCCTCCAAGCATGACCTTTTCTTCACAACGCGCAAAGTCCCCCAAAAGGGCTTAAGGCTTAAGGTTCAACGTTCACAAAGGAGCTCGTAGTATACGGGGCAGAAAGAAAAGTCCCTACTTTTCAGGGTCATTTGGTCGCTTAGAAACCCTAAACCCTAAACCCGGAAACCCTAAACCCGGAAACCCTAAACCCGGAAACCCTAAACCCGGAAACCCTAAAGCTACAGTCTCCTATCTGCAGCTTAAGCCCTGAATCCTACCCTCCCCAAAAATGACCTCCCAGCACGGCGACGGCATGAACAAAGGAGGCCTAAACTCTGTCCCGGCTTCAGGGTTCAGTTTCTGTTTGGTTCAGGGTTCAGTTCTGTTTGGGTACTATGATAAGGCTTCTCTTTTAGGGTTTGGCTTCTACCGGTTCAGGGATCAGGGTTATTGGGTTTCGGGTTTTGGGTTCAGGGTTCAATCTTCAGGGTTTTGGGTTCGGGGTTCAAATTGTTGGGTTCAAGGTTTCGGGTTTTGGGCTCCGGGTTTCGGGCTTAGGGGCCTGAGCCCTACACCCTAAACCCTAAACCCCTAAACCCCTAAATCCTAAACCCTAAACGGGCCTACACCCCAACCTTGCATGGGGCTGAAAAGCCCGAACAAGATGAAGACTCCCCAGAGGTGGAAGCCAAATACACCTACAGGAATGCCCAAAATTGAGTTGCAAACCTCAACGGCCCTGAACCAAAGACCCTCAAGCCTTACGCCGAAGGATCTTTGACAAAAGCTGAGGCTACCCTCAGTCTTCAAGATTTGGGGTGTTGCTCGTGATTCCTATTGCAGTGGCACTGCAAAAGTGAAAGGTTGGATCCGCTAGCTCCAAATCTGGCAGAGTTGCTTTGCGATGGCGGCTTTCCCGGCTCTGTGGTGTGGTATGGACAGAAAGCTCACTCATTAATTTGTAAACAGCATGGCAAGCATTACACCATGATATCCACGAAACTGTACGGCCGCCGTAATACCCCTAAACCTCAAATCCCAAACCCTGAAGCCCTAAACCCAAATACCCATCAAGAACTATTTGTGTCTACAGCCGACCCAAACTGTCGACAGCTGCAACGGCCTAAGCGCCCATGTGTCCAAATAGTGTGTACTTTGGTCTTCAAGCCTACGTTATCCCTGTATAGGTACTTTGGGGCCAAAGTAGTTATATATTGTGTGGGTATGTGAACCGTTTGGGACAGGCCCGGTTGTGTTGGGAGTTTGCGAGAGGAGCAAAACCAAAACCCTAAATTCTAACTCCAGTGCTAACTGTAGCTCACAAATATGCCTTGCTATGTCCCTGGTGTAAGGGTTCCTTAGGGTTTATGGTTCAGTTACAAAATGGACTCCAAACTTGAGGAAACTCCCTTTTCTTGTTTGCCCCCATGGCCCACACCTCCTGGCATGTCAACGTGGCAACGGTGGCAATGCCCGTAGATGCATAAATATAGGCGCCTTCGTGTCAGTATTAGAAGAGGGTTTCGATGTAAAGGATAGTGTACTTGACTTGCAAAGAGACAAAAGGTTGGTTACTAATACTAGCTGTTCCGATGTATGATGTAGGTCCATACAGGCCTGCACATTGCCTCGAGCTGCCATGCATTGTCATTCTTCAACATCTGCCAACACGCGCCCTTCTAGAAGGCTGTCAAGCTTCTTGCGGAACTGAGTGTTCCAAACACCAAATTCCGATACTTCCCTCAACTCAACCTCTCCGTTCCCCACAAGAACGAGTTCGTGCCCCTTCTCAGCGTCGTCATTCTCCGGATCGTCCAGATAAGTTGCTTCAAGAAGAGGCGCGCCACCACGCCTCCAGGAAGGAAGATGGTAGAGAAAGTACTCCTCAACATACGGGGCGGCTTCTTGATCTCGCGGCCAAAACATCGCCTTTACTAGCGCGTAGTCTCCAGCACGTGTTACTTTCCGACAATCGCAGGTATGCGACTCCCGCTCTTGCACGATAGCTTGAATTTTGTCATCGTCCGACATCAGCACTGCTTGCAGCATATCGCCATCCCTTATACCTGCATCCAATATATTCTGACTCTCACTCGCAACTTGCGCATCTGCAGTGATAAGATGCTTTATCAGGCGCTTCATCTCGCTTTCTGCCACCTTCTTCAGATTGAGAACGGTTACTTCCGGATCCACGCTACAGGTGATGCCGAAGCCGGCCATGGTTGTGATTTCAAGCTGCATGGACATGAAGCGAATGATCTGCTGGGCAGGGATGCGGCAGCGCTTCGCCATTGAGCAAACAGGTGCTGCAGGGCTGTGACATGTGCGTAATGCAGCTACTTCTTCATATAGTCTCTTAAAGCCCCTATATAACCCCAAGGGTTCCTTCGAGAGTCTCTCCTTTAGTCCCTTGATTAACTAGGTTTCCCAGTATCCCCTGAGAGATAAGGGTGCCCTTTTTCCTGCTATTTGGTTTTAGTAAGGGAACCCACAAAGAAAACGGGCAAAAGGGTCCTACTGGGAAACCCCTAAACCCTAAACCCAAAACCCCAAAACCCTAAACCCCAAAACCCTAAACCCTAAAACCCTAAAACCCTAAACCCTAAACTCCCCACCTGTAGTTTCCTTTAAGATCGTCTCTCCATTAGTCCCTTGGTTAATACGCCTTTCAGGGTTTCGACCTCCGGGCTGAAGCTTCGGTGCTCATGACATCCGCCACGTGGGGTTCAGGGGTTTAGGGGTTCAGGGGTTTAGGGTTTAGGGGTTTAGGGTTGAGGGTTTAGGGTGTAGGGGTTTAGGGGTTTTGGGGTTTAGGGTTGAGGGTTTAGGGGTTTATTCAGGGGCCAAGTATTGTAGGGGCCTTTATTAATGAGATTAGGGTTTGGGGGGGGGGGTCCTCTAAAGGGTTCCTTAAAGGGTTCTATAAGGGCTGCTAACTATAAGGGTTTCGAACTTTAGGATATAGGGGCCTTAGAAATTAGAATAGGGTTTGGGGGAATATTCTACAATAATGATAATAAGGAACCCCAAAACCCTATTCTAATTTGTTAAGGCCCTATATATTAGGCCCAGTCACTGCAAGTGTTGCCACATGGATCCACCCACTTTGCTTACCTTCCGCCAGGGTTTGTGATGGGCTTGGCTTCCGCGGGTAAGTGCTTGCAGTGTGCCAGGCCCTAAACCCTAAACCCTTGGCTGCCAGGCAGTTCGCTATTATCGGCGCGGTCACTGTTTAGAGGCCTCCATCAACCCGATGCCAGACCGGGCTAAATTCCTAAAACCACAAAATGCTCTAAGACAAAGGCTCCAAACCTTAAAATTTAACTCAAGTGACCATAATAATTCGTACGGAGACCATAGTAGCTACGACATGTTGCTACAGATCCTTGCTACCCAGGGGGGCCCACATATACTACCATTATGGAATCAGTTCCCGAAAGGCCGTCTCTATTATTTTATTATGGTTTGAGGGCCCTAATTTCATAATAGGCGTATTCATGGAGCCTTTTGGTTATGGTACTCAATCTAAGTTACCATAGTAAGGAGACCATTTTAAGCCATATCAGCTACTACAGCTCTTATTGTGGTGACTTAGATAAAACTCCTTAACAAGAGCCCAGCAAACTCCTAAACCCTAAACACGTCAACCCCTAAACCCCTAGACCCAAACCCCTAAACCCCTAAACCCTTAACCCCTAAACCCTAAACCACTAAACCTTAAACTCCTCAACCCTAAACCCCTAAACCCTAAACCCCTAAACCCTAAACCACTAAACCCTAAACCCCTGAACCCTAAGCCCTAAACCCCCTAAACCCTAAATCCTACACCACTAAACCACTAAACCCTCTAAACCGAAGTGTTGGACGTTCAAGACTCCTTGGTTAGAGAGTTTGGGCGTCGGGCTTCGGTGGCACACAGGCTCCTCCCTTCCCCAAAGGGTCCTAAGTAGGCTATACAGAAACATATTATAGAAACATATTATAGAAACCTCCACATTCTACTATATAGGTACTGAGCGCCCCAATGGATTTTATACTAAGGCGTGTGGCTGTGAGTGAAGTTCGCAGTTGGTACAAATGTTAGGGGCTGAGGGTTTGGAAGCCACTTTGGCATGGGGCTGTAAGACACCGCGTAGCTGAATGCCGGACCCCGACTTAATTCGGCGCCCCGAAAAACAAACACTGCGCCTAAAACCCTAAGCTAAACCCTAAACACGAAACAGTAAAGAAACACAAAACACTGCGCCTAAACTAAACCCAAAACGCGAAACAGTAAAGAGTTTGGGCGCTGATGAACGTCGCCCCGTGACGCTTCGAAGCCCCAGGAGCTTGTACCCCCGTTAGAACTTAGAGCTTTAAAGACTCACAGACAAGGCCCGTCAAGCCCTGAATAAGCCCCCAAGAAGTAAGAGAGTTTATAAGGATTAGAGTCTTAGGGGCCGAGTACCTTAGCCCAAAAAAGGTTATCCTCTGGAATTACAGTAGGATTATATGCGGCCCAAAAGGTTAAAGGTTACCTACTCAGCCCCCAAGATAAGGATTAAGAGTTCATCAGCGCTAAGGCCTAATCCCCAATCGCTAGCCCGGCACCTACTACTGGCAAACCCTGAGTGCAAAGCCCTAGAGAAATTCGAGCCAAGAGGCCAGCAAACCAAACTGCTCACCTGCAGCAAGAAGCGATTCCCTCCCAAAGATCACGACAGATTGGCTTCGACCAATTTTTGCGCGCTAATCGGGTTTCATACTCTGCTCTAGTACACGGTTTTTGGCAAAGGAACAGCGCCCACCAGCCATCAAAGCATGGCGGTTTCAGGGTTACGAGTTGAGGGTTCCGGGATCCAGGTGTTGAAGGTCTGGGGTCTATATAAGAGCTTTATCCAAATATACCCAGAATATGTCAGACGGCAACTTGCAACGAAACCTGTAAACCTTTGTGTCCCTCTGATGTTGCTGGTATTGGACTGGGCTTATGCTTAGGCTTGTTGTGTTCGCGCGAGGGTGCAACCGGCTTGATGCTTAAGATGTAATTCCTGCTTCCTGGAGGCCAGGCCCAATCAGTTAAAGGAAACTACAGGTGGGGAGTTTAGGGTATATGGGGCTTCCATAAGGCTTCTATATTATAAGGTATACACTATAAGGCTCCTATAACGGTAGCTACCCACCTGAAAATGTCCTAGAATCCGATCATCGAGTATGGAATCCCTGCTACACCCGATGGAATCCCTGAACGATGAAGGAAGCCCAGCTTTCCCCAGACCCCCGGGAGGATCTAAAACGTAGATCCCCTAATTTGGGGGGGGGGGGTCCTTAAAGGGCTCCTTATTGGGGTTTTACATTAAATTACTGGTCTGACGGTCCATTACGCGCTGAATCTAAAATCGGGAGCTTTGGTCGAGAAACCTAGCTCCAAATTGTTCTTTGCGTCTCTCTGTCTCTGTCTCCCCTCTCTCGTTCCTTCTCTCTCTCTCTATGTATATGCTGATTTCTTTCTGTCATCATATCTTTCTTTACTTGGGTCGTCGCTATCTATCTCTTTACTTGTGTCGTTTCTTCTTTCTTTGTTGCACTCTCTCTCTCTCTCTCTCTCTCTCTCTCTCTCGCTTTCTCACTCTCACTCTCTCTCTCTCTGTCTCTCTCTCTCTCTCTCTCTCTCTGTCTCGGGTCGCTTTCTCTTTACTCTCTCTCTCTCTCGACCCTCCCGCATTCTCATTCTGAATACGGCCCTAAACTTTAAACCCGAAGACCCAAGGCTAAACTCTAAACCCTAAGACCCAGGGCGAAGGCAAGTTTGTGGGGTTTCAGTAAAATTTAGGTTAGGGCCAGGGACTGTGATGGGATTTATCTGTGAGGATTCTGGCCAACGATTCGTAGATATTGGCCTTAGGTATAGTCTTCTGGTTCCCAAAAAACCCGAAAATGTTTGGAACCCTACAGGTTTGAGGCTGCCGAGCTGCTGTTGAGAGTAATGTAGACACAGGTGGTGGTGTTTGCTGTCAGTCGTCCACGGTGATGCCAATCTGCCCACCTGAGACGTAAACGCCGAATCCTTGAGCCCTAATCCTCGAACTCCAATTAGGGTTTAGGGCCTAGGGCTCAGGGTTCAGGGTTTAGGGTTCAGGATTTAGGGTTCAGGGTTTAGGGTTGCAGGGTTTAGGCCCCTCAACCTTACATCCGTAACCCAAGCTCGTGATCGTAGTTATAAACCTGAAACCCAAATAAGTGCTAATGTTAAAGGAAACTACAGGTGGGGAGTTTAGGGTATATAAGGCTTCTATAAGGTATAAAGACCTTCTATAAGGCTCCTATAACGGTAACTACCCACCTGAAAAATGTCCTAGACCTAAGGACTGCTGCACCGGAAAGCCTGACTCTTCTCCCAAACTTACCCGGTACCTAAACTAAACCCTAAACCCTATAAACCCTGAGACCTCAAACCTTTAAACCCTAAACCCCTAAGCCCTAAACCCCTCAACCCTAAACCCCTAAACCGTAAACGCTGAGACCTTAACAAAAGTGCTGTTCAGGATCCTTTCGGACTGTCAAGCGTTGGAGCGTCTGCGGGCTTAGGGCAAGCCCTGACACCGCTGGGGGTTCGAGAAAGTTGAATCCACCAACCTTAAACGTAGAAAATGGCAAAAGGGTAGCTTGCAAACATCACCCTCCCAACCTCAAACCCCCACATCGCAAGCCTGCATTGTAGAAGCCTAGACCCCTCGTCTTCAACCCGCGACGCCGAGAACACCCGTCCGACCACATCCCTTAGCCCGTACACCGTTGACTGCGCATGATCGCAAATATCCGAAAATCCCATAAGAAAGAAGGTGCTTCTAATCACCATGGGGAGCTCCCTGTAACTGACACCTTGGACCCTTGAAACCACTGAAACTCCATATCTGCAAAAACGGGACCACCCCCCAGCGTACCTTCCGGCTCTACTTCAAGGTCTCTTCGGACTGATGAAGGGCCCAGAGAACCCAATACCCCTTAATTAAGGAATATACCCCTTAAATCATAGTATGAAGGCCCCTTTAATTCCCTTAAGTCCCTTCTAGAGACCCTTGTAGAGACCCTTATAGATCCCTTTAAGGTCCCCTAAACTCTAAGGCATCTTCCTTACTTAAGGGGGTATTGGATTCTCTGGGGAAGGGGCATTGGAGTCTGCAGGACTTCGCCCTCCATAAAAACCGTGGAATTCGAAATCCTGATCCCTAAAAGGGTTT